TTTTTTTGGGTTCATTGAGAACATGGTTGTTGTTCAATAATAAAATTATTCCTCAAAAATACAACTTGCCTAATAATTCTGCACTCCCTGTAGAACCTGGTACCCTGGTACTCTCTTTTTCAAGAGAATTTGTACAGTTTAATATCTGAAAAAGGCTGCACATGGAAGCAGGCAGAGTGGTTGAGACATAATGCTCAGACATTTATCCAAACGAGTCCAGTGTTTTTTTCCAATTAGTTTTATAACAACCTGTGATGTTTGGAGAGTCAGCACATGTGATTTTTGTGGAGTGAATTTACATTAATTTACACTAATTTGATGTTGTTTTCTTGAAAGCAAAATGATGGCCAGTTCACAGTGATACAGCTGGTGGGAATGTTGCGCGGCATTGCAGCAGGAATGAAATACTTGTGTGACATGAACTATGTCCATCGAGACCTGGCAGCGAGGAACATCTTGGTCAACAGCAACCTAGTGTGCAAAGTGTCTGACTTTGGCCTGTCACGTTTCCTTGAAGAGGATACTTCAGACCCCACTTACACCAGTGCTCTGGTGAGTCCTTATCAGTGACTATGGAGACCGTCATTCAGTACATTTCATTTATAATACTTCAAATTGTATTATAAATTCTGTCATAAATGAACTTCTTCTTCTTCTTAGGGGGGAAAGATTCCCATCAGGTGGACAGCACCAGAGGCCATTCAGTACAGGAAGTTCACCTCCTCAAGTGACTGCTGGAGCTATGGCATAGTCATGTGGGAGGTGATGTCATATGGAGAGAGGCCCTACTGGGACATGAGTAATCAAGATGTGAGTAAAGCCCTTTAAAATTACTGGTATTTGTGTTTAAGATAAACAATGATAAACTGCCAGGTAGTGGTAGTTGTTCCCTTGGGCTTAGCAGTTTCAGTTAAGTAGTTTCAATTTACTGCCAAAAGAATGTGATAACGGCCCATTATTGCTTCTGTAGTCAGTCAGAGAAAATCTTTTGTGACTGAAATTGTACCCTGAAATCAGCACGTCGCAGAGAAATGAGAAATGTGAACGAACTAAATAAACCTTGATGCACACTACTTACTCCTGAAAAACAACCCCATCGCTCCGCCACCAAATTTTAAGCTTTGACACAATACAGTTAGATAAGTACTGTTCTCATGGCAATTGCTCAAACCAGAGGCATCCATCAGATTGCCAGATGGAGACACGTGATTTGTCACTCCAGAAAACACATCTCCACTACTCTAGAGTCTGGTGGTGGTGGTGCTGTAGGCCTCTGGATCCGATGCTGTTTTCAAACCCATGAAGCTCTCTATGCACTGTTGTTGAGCTAATCTGAAGGCCACGTGAAGTTTGGAGGTCTGTAATGATTTACTCTGTCCATAAAGGTGGTGACCTCCGTGGCAACCTCATACTACACAGTGTTAAGCATGTCCATGTCCCAACTTATTTGAGATTCCAAATGGCTCTTTTTCTTAAAATAGTACATTTTCTCAGTTTAAACATTTGCTATGAGAATAATATATCAGTTTATCAGATTTGCAAGTCATTTCTTTTTTCTTTTTAAATCCTGTCCTGTTTGTCAGCTTTTTGCAATCAGAATTATGATCTGAATGCATTCAGTTTTTATTTACATTTTGCACCTTATTCCAAGACTTTTGTTTTAACCATGAGTTTTCATGCAAATTGTTTTAGGTAATCAATGCCATAGAGCAGGACTACAGGTTGCCACCCCCTATGGATTGTCCTAGTGCACTACATCAGCTAATGCTTGACTGCTGGCAGAAAGATCGCAACAACCGACCCAAATTCAGCCAGATTGTCAGCACACTGGATAAGATGATCCGCAATCCCAACAGCCTGAAGGCCATGACACCATTGTCATCAAGGTATGACAGGAAGAACAATTATTTCACGCTGAGAGTTGCTGACACCCAATCATCTTTTTAACTTCTAGTTCTTTTGTCTTTTTTCTATCCACCATTTAGTGTTCATTTAGCTCTGCTTGATCGCAGCACTCCAGATTTCTCCTCTTTCAGCACCATCGATGAGTGGCTGGATGCCATAAAAATGGGCCAGTACAAGGAGAATTTCACCAGTGAAGGCTTCACCAGCTTTGATGTGGTGTCTCAAATGACCATGGAGTATGTTAGATACTTTTCTTATATCAAAAACAGAGGTCTCACGTGCACACACTAGCTGATGAGTTAGAATGCGGCAACAATGGGGAAGTGTAAGGATTTGAGTGAGGGAAACCTTGGACCTTGCCATCTATGTGGATATTACTACCTACTACCTACCTAAGCATTGTTGCAGACCATGTACACAAACTGTACACCCTACTTTGATCTTAAGTGATCTTAAATGGGCCAGACCAGTGAAACTACATTATAAATGTTGTTACTCGTTAAGTTACTGTGGACTCATTAATAGTTGAAAAATAGTATCTCACCTGTCATTTCAGTGTTTAACTGTTAGTAATTGCTTTAATGTAATCATAAAGAAACAGAAACGTATTCACGGAAACAGTATTCCCTAATGGCTATGGCCTCTTTCAGCGGGAAAATATGCCCTGCCGCAAAGGAAAAATGGTTCAGAAAAGTTGGGACTTAAAGAATCTGTTGCTAATCTCTTTGTGCCAGATACAACAGCGTGCAGTCAGGGACCTACTGATGTCTCCATGCCTTGATGGTGTTTGTAGTCAAACTTGGCACTGCTCATGTTGGTACTGGTCTAAGAATCCTTGTGTACTGCTCTGCCAACCAGGAGCTGTCGCTTTGGCTCTGTGGTGTTATTTCCAATACCTTTCTCAGGTGTCCTTACATATTGACTCATGTGTCTACTCAGCTTGGTTGAGATGAGCTTCCATGTTGTGGAGAAGCAGGTATTCAGGCAGTTGTTCTATGATGTCATACCATTATGTGGATCGCGAAGGATCCCCATAATGGTATGACATGACGGTTTGGAGAGTAAGGCTGAAGAAGCTCGTTGATATAAGTGGAGGCCTCTCTTTATAAAGACATAAAAGTAAGAGTGAGGATTCTAAACTGATATATAATAATAATAATTAAAGATATGGTAATAAAATTATGAGGCTTTGCCAACAAAAATTAAAATAAGCACTTAATATTTGCCACCATGTTAAATGGCCTGTATTTTGTATAGCGTTTTACTAGTCCCTAAGGACCCCAAAGCGCTTTACACATCCAGTCATCCACCCATTCACACACAGGTGATGGCAAGCTACATTGTAGCCACAGCCACCCTGGGGCGCACTGACAGAGGCGAGGCTGCCAGACACTGGCGCCACCGCCAAGGACTGCCCAAGGACACAACGCCCGAGACTGTCCAAGCCAGGGCTCGAACCGGCAACCTTCCGATTACAAGGCGAACTCCCTCTTGAGCCACAATCGCCCCTCATGGACCATGGGCCTTAAACTTCCAAAGAAATCAAACATGAGCATGTCTATTAGGCTGTCCAAACTTTCAGGGGTAAGACTTGGATCTCACAGGTCAGCAACATGAGCAGGACTGAACTTATCTTTTTATTTTATTTGTATCCCTCAATTGTAAAAGCATTGCTCTGCTGCCTGCCTGCCTGCCTGCCCCACATACCCAAGTTTGTGAATACAATAACTCAAAAATGAGGTGATGTAATACCTTAGGTGTATCAGATGAGTCTGAATCTTAATGATATTGACCTCAAGGTTAAGTCAGGGTTCAACTTTCCTGAAAATCACCTAGGATTTTCTCATTTATACAACAGGTATTTCTACTATGAAGCTGAAGGGTAGCACGGGCAGCTGCCTGTATTTTTATTTATATATTTATTTACTTTGAACATTTACACGTTTGTGTGCTTTAAATTTGTCACCCATTGTCAGAATGCTCTGCTGTTCAACTATAATGTCCTGAGGTGTCTATGGTAGGAGATTACCTGAACTACCTGTGTGTGCCATTGTGCAACAGCACATAAGAGCTTTCAAAGCCCAGAGTTTTTTTGGCCACACCAGCAGCCTCCCTTACTGTAGGGAGGCTGCTGCCATACTAGTTATCATACTACTTATCATACTAGTTACCATACTAGTTATCCATGTTCCCGAAATGAAAAATTAAGTTGAAGAGGTTTTTTTACATGCTAGAGGAGACCAAATGTGTGTCACAGAGACACAAGCGCAAGTGGACTTGCACTGAGAAATTTGAAAGTAACTGTTGCTTAAAGTGTTGCAGATTTAAAGGAAGACTGGTAAATTTCATGATCGATTATGGACTAAGTGCCTGAACTTTTTTAACCAACTTTGTACAATTTTATAATATACACAAAAGTTGTCATTTAGATTTGGTTGTCAGTATCCACAAGCCAGAATGCCTTCTGAAATGTCAACTGTTACTCCTGTGGTATAGCTGGGTGTAATGATGGCGTATGATTTATCTTCAGGGATATCCTCCGAGTGGGAGTGACATTGGCTGGTCACCAGAAGAAGATCCTGAACAGCATCCAGTCAATGAGGGCCCAGATGAACCAGATCACCTCTGTGGAAGTGTGATCTTATAGACCAGAAGCACAAAGACTGTTCACTACAGGAAGTCCAGCTGCCAGTAACCATGCATTGAGGAACACATACACTGTGACTTCAGTTGAACCTCAGATTCACTTTTCCTCCTTCCAAACACTCTCCAAAGGCTTCCATCAGTATGCAGCACAGCACAGATGTTGAGTAGTTTTCTTGAAGCTGCTGTATATTCAGGTAACAGTCTTTTTGGGGGGCTGTTGGACATAATCACAGGCATCTAACTGTCAAATTACTACAGTACAGTCACGTGTCTTGTTAATGTTCCATCACTCTTCCACTCTCTCCACTACCAGCAACTTAAGTTATTCTTAAGAATTAATGTCCTAAAATTGGCCTTGCATTTTGAATTTTATGCAAGGAACCTGCTGTCACAGTGAACGATGATATTAAAAACAGCATAGCAGGACTCAATGAACTGGCTGGTGCAAATTACAACTTATACGTTAAGTTGAGCATATTTATTTATAGCTGCCACCTTCACCTTACTGCTACCTCTGTACCACAGTAATTGTGGCATTTTTCGTAACTATGTAAAGTTTCTTAACTATGTAAAGCTGCAAATCAGAACTTTTTGTCAGATCAAACCCAGTTTTTGGTACAGGCAATTGAACATTTACATAGATTGTATGGTGTGAATTTGAATAAGGAAGCATTGGCTAACTATGACCCTTATATTATTCAGCTACAATGTAGATGAACACACTTCTACTACCAGCAACAACAGGTGCCAAATACATATCTCTCTCTCTCTCTCTCTCTCTCTCTCTCTCTCTCTCTCTTTCTCTCTTCACACACACACACACACACACACATCACACATCACACATCACAAATATCGTGTGTGTGTGTGTGTGTGTGTGTGTGTGTGTGTGTGTGTGTGTGTGTGTGTGTGGAGAGAGAGAGAGATATCATTTATCTCACTGTCCCATTTACTGCGGAAACTGTGATACGAAACTTGCAGATATGATTCTCGGTTCTGTACATGTGTTTTGGGGTTAAAGGTTTACAAGTTTTCATGTTTTATAGAAAATTGTTCAAGAGAAATACCTTTTACACCCAGTTGTTGTCTTGTACATATCAGTATATATTTTTCTTTTAAGAAAAAAAGACTGCTCTTTCATTTGGCACTTTTAAATCATAGCTGTTAAACAAATTGCTTTTCAATGTTTCTTATTCTCACATACCACTGAGAGCTATAGGCACTGGCTTGCCAACAGAAGCAAATTGGGATTTAGTGTCTTGCCAGAAGATAGTTCTAAATGATGTGGCAACTGAACTACTAACACTGTATTTAGTGACTCAACATTACTTGAGTTATAGCTTCCCAGCAAGTGCTACCAATAACCAATTATTATTCTATCATCAAAGTGATTTAAAATAACATTCAAATGTCCTGCAGATTTTGAAATCTAGAAATTTTAAAATGTCAATTCAAATGTCTCTATGTTTTGCAACCTAACAAAGGCCGTATGTAGAGGAGTGCTTTTCAAGTCATTTTCAGAATATGAAAAATAATACAAATCTTGTTAATTATGTGTTCAACAGGCTTGGCTGATAAAAACCGATGATACATATCCCTTTATTAAGCATAGCATGTATTACATTTGACACCAAAGTTTAGCCTTTAACATTAAACTCTGTGTATGATGTCTTGAGCTTGACCGCCTACAGTGTAACTTTCTTGGATATATATAAAATGCACAAATTATTGCTTTCATAATTAGGAGACTCACATCCACTTATTGTGAGAAAACAAATGATTATTCTTGCCCAAAAGTAAATTCACATAATTAGTATGTCATTCAGATGTTTTCTCATTAAGAAACTGAGTAGTACTTGATAATGCAGCCCATAACTTATGGTATAATTTCATATATTTCAGATCAGAATGTAGGGTGTTTTTCAGTTGTCTAAAAATATATCTCTGTAAGGACAGTGCAACCAACTAGGGCCAGGACCAAATTGCTCTCTCCCCAGCCACCTCCTCTGGGGGAAAACCAAGGCATTTACAGCCCAGCTGAGAGACCTAATGTCTGTAGTGTGTCTTGGGTTTATCTCAGTGCCTCCTCCCAGTAGAACATACCCAAAAGGCTTGCTCAGGAGGTATCCTAGTCAGATGCCCAAACCACTTAAGCTAGTACCTTTTGGTGTCTAAACTGCTCCAGTGTGAACTATAGGCCACCACATGATAAAGCCAACAGAACCACATCAACTGCAAAAAAGCACAGACAAAATCCTGAAGCCACCACAATGGAAGCCTGTGCATAAAAATTTGAAATAGACTTACTGCCAGCATTGTAACCAAGTCCTCACTGTGGTTTGAACAGTGACCAAATAGGGACTTTCTATAATAGTCGTTTTTTGTTTGTTTGTTTCTTGTTGTCTTTCTTTTTTTTTGTTAAACAATGTCTTCTCCAAGTCGACAAGATACATATAGACTGGTTCGACTGGCACCAGGGGCTTTGGCCTGTGAACAAGACATCACCCTCCCCAGGCCTCACTCCAGGGCATGGTTATAGCCCAATGGTTATTTCATTTTTTTTCTTTTGTTTAAAAAAAAAAACAGTTAACATTTGAATGGCATTTCAGAACCGAACTTATGATCCTGATTTTTTTTTTTTTTTGGACACATGGATGGATGGACTTCGATGTGCTTCCATAAAGTTGAGTTTCAAATTAAAAGCAGTCAGCTAAGATTCATTTTTGGATTTGAGAGCAGTATTCAGTTGTTTAAGGAGAAACTCCATTCTCTTGCATTCCTCTTCACATGCATTGCACTTCTAAACTGATCCACGCTGCTAGGCATGGGCATGTGAAGTTTTAATGATGCATCATAGATGAATACTATCAGAGTGTCTTGGAGAACTTTATTTTAGTTTATCTGTGGATTAAATCTGTCAACAGATGGGTGATCTAAGAGGCCACAATAAATGAATATGAGGCTTACTTTGAAAAGCCGTAATTTCCAATTTCGTAAATCATTACTGAAAAAGTCTACAACCACTGACTGACATGATTTAGAATATGATTAGGTTTTGAGTGGTAAATCAGACTACCCATGGTTTGGGAAAATATAATGGTATAGTTGTGCAATGTTTAGGATTCTGTTTAGGATTCTGGCACCATAAGTGCATTTCTGTCTTTGCTTCTGAGAGGAAAATCGTTCAGATTGGCCATTAAAGCTATAAGCACCAAGCCTCAGAACAAAATAGCTACAGTGGGGCAAAAAAGTATTTAGTCAGCCACCGATTGTGCAAGTTCCCCCACTTAAAATGATGACAGAGGTCAGTAATTTGCACCAGAGGTACACTTCAACTGTGAGAGACAGAATGTGAAAAAAAAACCCATTAATCCACATGGTAGGATTTGTAAAGAATTTATTCGTAAATCAGGGTGGAAAATAAGTATTTGGTCAATAACAAAAATACAACTCAATACTTTGTAACATAACCTTTGTTGGCAATAACAGAGGTCAAACGTTTACTATAGGTCTTTACCAGGTTTGCACACACAGTAGCTGGTATTTTGGCCCATTCCTCCATGCAGATCTTCTCGAGAGCAGTGATGTTTTGGGGCTGTCGCCGAGCAACACGGACTTTCAACTCCCATCACAGATTTTCTATGGGGTTGAGGTCTGGAGACTGGCTCGGCCACTCCAGGACTTTCAAATGCTTCTTACGGAGCCACTCCTTTGTTGCCCGGGCGGTGTGTTTTGGATCATTGTCATGTTGGAAGACCCAGCCTCGTTTCATCTTCAAAGTTCTCACTGATGGAAGGAGGTTTTGGCTCAAAATCTCACGATACATGGCCCCATTCATTCTGTCCTTAACACGGATCAGTCGTCCTGTCCCCTTGGCAGAAAAACAGCCCCATAGCATGATGTTTCCACCCCCATGCTTCACAGTAGGTATGGTGTTCTTGGGATGCAACTCAGTATTCTTCTTCCTCCAAACACCACGAGTTGAGTTTATACCAAAAAGTTCTACTTTGGTTTCATCTGACCACATGACATTCTCCCAATCCTCTGCTGTATCATCCATGTGCTCTCTGGCAAACTTCAGACGGGCCTGGACATGCACTGGCTTCAGCAGCGGAACACGTCTGGCACTGCGGGATTTGATTCCCTGCCGTTGTAGTGTGTTACTGATGGTGACCTTTGTTACTTTGGTCCCAGCTCTCTGCAGGTCATTCACCAGGTCCCCCCGTGTGGTTCTGGGATCTTTGCTCACCGTTCTCATGATCATTTTGACCCCACGGGATGAGATCTTGCGTGGAGCCCCAGATCGATGGAGATTATCAGTGGTCTTGTATGTCTTCCATTTTCTGATGATTGCTCCCACAGTTGATTTTTTCACTCCAAGCTGCTTGCCTATTGTAGATTCACTCTTCCCAGTCTGGTGCAGGTCTACAATACTTTTCCTGGTGTCCTTCGAAAGCTCTTTGGTCTTGGCCATGGCGGTGTTTGGAGTCTGACTGTTTGAGGCTGTGGACAGGTGTCTTTTATACAGATGATGAGTTCAAACAGGTGCCATTCATACAGGTAACGAGTGGGGGACAGAAAAGCTTCTTACAGAAGACGTTACAGGTCTGTGAGAGCCAGAGATCTTCCATGTTTGAGGTGACCAAATACTTATTTTCCACCCTAATTTACGAATAAATTCTTTACAAATCCTACCATGTGAATTCATGGATTTTTTTTTCACATTCTGTCTCTCACAGTTGAAGTGTACCTCTGGTGCAAATTACTGACCTCTGTCATCATTTTAAGTGGGGGAACTTGCACAATCGGTGGCTGACTAAATACTTTTTTGCCCCACTGTATGCTGTGGCTCTTATGGAAGTCTTTGCAAGAAATTAGGTATCATGTCCCGTTTAGATATTGGTGTTTATACATTCTGGGTTTCTGTAGGACATAGAGGTCCTGTGCTCCACATTATTACCATAAAAGATGTGTTTCATCTATGATCTCTGTTTTGTCTTTTCTGTCCTTGTACATATTCCCTTCATGATTTGAAATGAAGCTGAAGCGTACCATCATCCGAACTCAGAAATCAGTGTGGGTTGGGGTTTGAAAGGTAACATAGCTCAGAAGCCTCACAGGACCAATACAGCATTAGAAATATTTTGGGGGGTTTTTTATGTGAATTTTTAAAAAATGTGAGGTTGTTGTTTTTTTTTAAATAAATGTTATGCAATCGTTGTACGTACAGAAAAGAAAAGTGAATTTTCCGTTTGAGTCATGTGACATTTGAGTGATTTTTTTTAAAAAATGGGGACATTTGGCATGTTAAACCCTTCCTTCTAATGTACTGCCATAAATCACATGTTCATCCACTCACTATGGTGTTATCTACATGAGTCCCTTTGAACTTGGTCCTGTTTGTACATGTTCAGAATGTTGTCAGTTATTGTAAGGCTATAACATGTTTTGATGGTAGCATTCAAAAGCACAATTCCAAGACATTTATTCCCCGCTTATGTTTTGAAATTCAGTGCTATTGTAAAAAATCAGGAAGGAATACATATGCTTCTTTAAGGGTTAGTTATTCTTTGTAATCTGCTCACTGGAACACATAAAAATAAAGAAACAAACTCTTAACAAGCTGCTTTAACAATGAAGGTTTGGATTTTTAGTGTTGGATCAGGACAGGCCAGACTCCTTTTTTTCTTTTTTAATATGTTGTAGTTTAAAGAAATGCACTGACTTGAATTAATTATAAAACATGTCCTGATGCATGTTCTTTCTGAACAGAAGGTACAACTAAGACTTCTGTATTGC